CCTGCTGTGTTCATCCAGCTCAATACCTTGTTATCTCAGATTCTCCAGCATCGCCAGTTCCTACTATCTCTGACTTTTTTCCTTGTTCTTTTTATAAGAATCACCCATCTCTATATTCAGTGACTCCTATAGGACAGTACGCACATGGATTGTAGGCAAAGATAGCATTAGCCTCAGCTGTAATGTTTTAGCTAAATGGTCCTCAGCACTCATTATCCAGGTTCATTTGTGTGAAATAATGAACAGCTGCAGTTATCTATGTATCCAAACGCAGCATCAATCAACACCTTCAGGAAAGGAAAGAAACTATCCTGAAGGGAACACAAAAATGGAACAGTGGACTGGTCCTCACAATCATCGAATCTCTGAGTTTGTACTATATGTGGTATTTGAAATGGCTTGCAAATAGCACCCTAAACCAAAAAAGCCACGCAGATCCAAAAATATTAGCTAATACTGAATTCTGGTTCATACTTACAAAAATGATGCACAGAATACATCCTCTTCATCATCATCCTCATCACTCAACTCCCTCTCCGTGCATTTGACACTCGATGATCTTTCGCACGATGTGCTCCACTCCACGGAACTGGTCGTGACAGGGGGCGGGGCATTCTTTTCAATGTCATCTGTGTTTTGATAATCCACCTCACATTGGGGTGGAGTCTCTGGCAAGTTTTCTGGGGATGGGTTTGAGGCGGGTTGGATTTCATATTTCTCGATCCAAGCGTTGTAGTACCTTACAATGTTTTCATGGTTCAGACGTGATAGCAATGTCACTTCACCCTTTATTCTGCGGAAATGTTTACTGGAAGGATTCACCAGGATGCGTTTAACCGCATAACAGCAGCCATCTAATTTATTCTTTACCTGAAATCAAGCACAGTGTTGAATTTAACTAACTATTTAAGGGCATGAGAATGCATGACATTGAGGAAGACAACCATCTAAAATGGTCAAAGCAATGATCTATCCAGGGGATAGGAGAGAATACAATTTATCGAGTCCACAGAATTTAGCATTAGATTAACATTTGCTACAGTTTATGAACCATCACTACTCTTCAGGGACATTGTGGTTCATGTCAAATAGTATAACAAAATAAAGGATTAATATGTTCCTATCATTTGTTTAGCTGGGACCACCTTCCTCCATTAGAACACAGCAATTCTTCCTCTATATATTCTAAAAAGATTTGATATTTGTATATCAATTATACTTAATTATTTATAGATGGAGGACATTCATTGGGGTTTCAATTATGCATACAGTAAACAACAATTAAGCTATCGTGGTAGTGGACCTACCTCTGGGCCAGAAGGTCCAGGGTTAAGTCCTGCTGATATTGAAGTGTTTTTTCTAATTAAAACTGAAAGAACTGTGGATGCTGTCAATCAGAAACAAAAATAGAAATTGCTGGAAAAGCTCTGGCAGCATCTGTGCAGAAAAATCAGAATTAACGTTTCGGATCCTGTTCTGAGTAAGGGTCGTTGGACCCAAAATGTTAACTCTGCTTTCTCTCCACAGATTACCAGAAATCTCTATTTTTGTTTTATTTTTAGTTTATTCTTTCACAGGATGCAGGCGGATTAAATGCCTACGCCTAATTGGCCTCGAGAGTCCACCATATTGTTGTGGGTCTGGAATCACAACTTCAGTTCGCCAGACCAAGTAAGGATGGCAAATTTCCTCCTCTAAAAGACATTATTGAACCAGGGGGTCTTTACAAGAATCAGTGCTAGCTTCTTGGCACCAGTGCTGAGGCTAGCATTTGATTCCAGTAACTGAACTGAAATTTTACCAACTGCCATGGTGGGATTTGAACCCATGACCGCTGAGTAGTAGTCTGGGCCTCTGGATTACTAGTCCAATGACACTGCCACCACACCCGATCTCCCAGTAAAAGGCAGATGTCCCAACATGTCCAAACAAGGAGCTTAAAATAATTTGTTTTATAAAAAGACACTCAGTCAAACTGTGGTACAGCTGAGTTTGGAGTTGCTTACAATGCTTTATTCCATCTAAGATTTACCGACGGAGTGAAGATATTCTCCAAGTCTACCTTTGCCAATTGCTTGAAAATAACAAGACTCACCCCATCTTTTCATGTTATACACACAATGAGGAGGAATGGGAAGAAAGAAACTATTTCAAATTGAAGAGAAGCATATAATTAGAGGAAAGGTGATATATTTTACAGTAACTTCTACTGGACACAAAAGGGAAATACAAACATGAAGGTGGGGTGAAAAGAGTTGGTCAGTGCCTACTGCCATTTTAATAAATCAGCTACACAAAACTGTGATAACTTTAATGCTGGTTGTTTTTCTCCATCCACTTGTATCCAAGTTTCCATCCTGAAAGCACCAACTCATGCATCACTTGAATGTATGCCAGGCACTTCCTTAATTCCTCCACTAATTTATTTTTCTTTGGGAAAGGTTTTCGACTTTAAAAGGTACTATATGAATGCACATCAGTGTGTATAAATTTAGCTCAATGGTAGCACTCTTGCTTCTGAATACATTCAAGCCCCAATCCAAGGCCTGAGTACACAATTTATACCATTACTTCACTGCACATCAAAAGAAGTGCACTATTGAGATACCTTTTCATACAACATTAAACGGAGATCTTGTCAATTCCCAACACTGATCTAAGTGCAGGAGAACTTTGTGCCAAGGCCAAGATTATTCAAAATTTGCAGTATTATGGGGAGATCAAGACAGTGTATCAAGGTGGACACTTCCTTCAAAGAACAAGTATAAACATGATGAGCTGAAAAGTCTCCTTTGTAGTGTGAATTTCTATTTATTCCACAACCAACGTCGCCAAATTAACTATTAACTTGACATTTATGACAAAGTTATCCACAAATTCTCTGCCATGTCTGCCCACCTAACAACAGCCATTAGATTTTAAAAGTAGATGTCTGTGAAATGGTCTGGCACAATCGCAGAATGTGAAAAAATTAGTGAAAAAACTAGAGACACAAACGGAACAATAGGTTGATATGGTTAGATAAATACGGTGGGAGGAAGCTTGCATGGAACATTTTAATTCAAGACATCACCCCTCGAGAGAGAGGTAGCAACAACTGCAGATGCTGGATTCAGAGTCAACACAGTGTGGAGCTGGGGTAACACAGCACGTCAGACAGCATCAGAGTTAAAATTAGAACACAGGCTTCACATAGTTGGGTCAAAAATCCCACTTTGTGCCGTACATTCTATGTAATTCTATGTTGTGCCAATACAACAGGCAGGGAGTCAAACTTTAACTCGGTGTGAAACTAATTAATGATTTAGGTCCATCAGTAATTCTATCAGAGTAAATCTGATAGGAGAACGGACATACAGTATAGTAAAACCAGTTGGCTCTTGTGCAAACTTCATTTTTGAAACAGGGCACCGTGGTAAGACACCTTTTAAACCAGTGTTTTAGTTGACATTTAAACATTAATTATGTCATGAATCTGCACATTAGGAGAGAGTATTCCAAGGAATTATGTAGGGGACAGTTCAGAATTTTTCTGCACCAGTTCATAGTTACCTTGATGACAGCCCCAAAGGCACCTTCTCCCAGAAGCTGTAGCTCCTCAAACTCATTGTAATAACGCGACAGCTGCTTCTGGGTGTCTGTGTAAAGAGATGCAGTGAGGAGCTGGCTGTTTGGGATAACAGTTTCTGCACAATCCGTTCCTCCTGCTGAATCTGGTGACAGGAAAACAAACCACATTAGTAAGGTGTACATAGCAAATGGGAATGAAAAAATAAGGTGGAATTTTATACGGTTCATTGTACAGTTACAGCTACCTCTCATTTAGCAATCCTAATGTGCTCCTAAACAACAATCTGCTAAAGAAAAATAAATTTTCTATAAGAAAACCTGGAATAAAGATGGGTAATGCTCCTGACCCGTAATTTTTATATTAAAAACCTATTGTCCTCCCTGAAACGAAGTGGGCCAAAAAAAAATCATCTCACTAACTCTTAATAACTTATTAGCTCTTTAAACTTTCTCCTGGCTTGCCATAATGACTCACCCATTATCATCTCTTCTGCTCATCCTTTTGCTGCTGAATGTAACTGCGCACTGCGTATTCTGCTCATCACCACTCCCTAACCTTCCCACTCAAACTTTCCAATTCACCAGTTTGTACTGCTATTCCTACCCTCAAGCAGTCGCAGGGATAAGCAATGGGATTTCAACTGTTTAAAATTTATGCAAATGATTTAGATGAAGAGACGGACAGCATTATTGCCAAATTTGCTAACAACACAAAGATGGGTAGGAAAGTAAGTTGTGAAGAGGACACAAGGATGTGACAAAAAGATATTGACGTCAAGTGTGTTGGAAAAGATGTGATAAATATATTATCACTAAATTCAGAAACTCAGCTACTGTTCTGGGGACCTGGGTTCGGATCCCGCCATGGCAGATGGTGGAATTTGAATTAAATTAAAAAGAAATCTAGAATTGAGAATCTACAGATAACAATAAAACCCATTGCTGATTGTCAGAAAACCCTATCTGGCTCACTAACGTCCTTCAGGGAAGGAAATCTGCCGCCTCACCTTGTCTGGTCTACATGTAACTCCAAACAGACAGCAATATGATTGACTCTCAACTGGCCTCTGAAATGTCTGAGCAAGCAACTCAGTTCAAAGGCAGCGATAGTTGGAACTGCCGATGCTGGAGAATCTGAGATAACAAGGTGTAGAGCTTTATCTCAGTTCAAAGGCAACTAGGGACAAGCAATAAATTCTGGCCAGCCAATACACCCACTTCCCAGAAGTGAATAAAAAGAAGAGCACTATTTGGGAAATGTGAGATTTTAACAAGTAGTATACAAAAGTATATTACCTGAATGGTTAGAGCAGAGCTCAGATGCAAAGCATTTTGGGTTCCCTCAAGCATGAATTGCAAAAGGTTACTAAGCAGTACTTCGGAATGTTAATAGAATGTTATCATTTATCACAAGGGAAACTGAATATAAACAAAGGGAGTAGAGAGGGGAATAGAATGGGAGTGTTGCATTATTAATCAAAGGATAGCAGTGAGGAGGGGTGACATCTTACAGCATCAGAGGAGTAGGAGAGTCAACGTTTTGTGTCGGGACCCTTCAACAGGACCTGATGAAGGGTCCCGACCCAAAATGTTGACTCTCCTGCTTCTCTGATGCTGCCTGACCTGTTGTGTTACCCCAGCTCCACACTGTGTTGACTCTGAATCCAGCATCTGCAGTTGTTGCTATCTTTCTCGAGGGGTGATGTCTTGAAAGGATCATCACATGAGGCCATTTGGGTAGAAGTAAGATTCACAAAAAAGGCAAACACGCTTTTGGGTGTGTATTACAGGCCTCCAAACAATCAGAGATAGAAGACCCAATATGTAATCACATTTCAGAGAAACGTACGAATAATATAGTACTAATAGTAGGGGATTTCAACTGTCCAAGTAACAACTGGGATAGTTCTAGTATCTAGGGCAGGAAGGGAACAAGATTCTTGAACTTTCTCAGCTAGTGTGGAGAAACTGAGGCAGATGGAAGAGTACTCAATAATAGTAAAGCATTTTGAAGATACTGACTGTAGCTCAGTTAGATTTAGGATAGTTATGGAAAAGGAGAAGGATAGGGTGGGAATAAAAATTCTAAACTGGGAAAGGCTATGTTACTAAGACAAAATATAATTTGGCCCAAGTGGACTGGGAGCAGCTGCTTGCAGATAAAACTGCAAGTATCTGTGGTAGGATCTCATGGAGGTAATAGCAAGAGTACTGAACAAGTATATTCCTGTAAAGGTAAAGGGTATGATCAAAACCTGAAAGCTATGGATGTCAAGGGACAAAAAGGTTAGGATTAAGGCAAAAAAAAGAAAGTTTCTGGCTTCTTATGACAGAATCCCAAGAGGAGTATTAAAAGGTCCAAGGGAGAACTTAACAAGAAATTGGCAGGTAGAATATAGGTAAACACAAAGGAAATTTTTAAACACATAAAAAGCAAGAGAATAACTTGCCAAGGGCAGGCCCCATTAGGCCTCATTAATCTGTGTGTGCATGGACCTGGAAGATATGAACACAATCCTCAAATTAGTGCTGTGCACGGTCTTCACAATGAAAATAAGCAAATGCAGGTATAGACATTAGGACAGAGGACTGAAAAAATATCAGAAAAAAATAACAGAGATAGGATGGGAGCTATTTTTCTTGTAACAGCGAAGGTTAAGACAAGCCTGACAGAGTTGTATAAAATAATGAGGGGCATAATCCATTTCTATTAATAGAGGGTCAGTAACAGGGAGCCTGGGTTTAATTTAAGATGTAGAATACCAAGAAGAGGGTTGAGGCAAAATCTTTTTGTCCAGAGGGTGGTCCAGAGGGAGTACGGAACTCACTGCCTGAAAGGGTAGTTGGGTCAGAAACTCTTGTAACATTTAAGCAGTATTTACACTTCAATTTTGTGGCTATAGCTTCCAATGCTGTGGGCCAAAAACTGGAAAATGGGATTAGTTTAGTCAGATTTTTGTTAATCAGCACTGACATGACCTCCTTTGAGTCTAAGAAGTTATGTTTCAGTTATACAGGGTACTCGGAAAACTATAGTGGAGTACTGTGCACAGGTTTGGTCTTCCTAATTAAAGCAGGATGTAAATGTGTTGGAAGCTGTTCAGGGAAGGATTTCTTAGACTAATATCTGGAACGGCCGGGTTGTCGTGTGAGAAAAAGGAGAGACAGACTAGGCTTGAAACCACCGGTGCTTTGAAGAGCAAGAGGCAAACAGATTAAAATATATAAAATCCTGAGGAGTCCTGACAGGGTAAATGTGGAAAATACATTTCCTTTTATGGGAGCATATAGAACTAGGAGTAACTGTTTAATAATCAGGGGTCACCCATTAAAAACAGAGATCAAGTCAACACTTTTTCCTTCAGAGGGTCATGAGTCTTTGCAACTCTGCTCTTGAAAAGGTGATGCAATATCGTTAAGGCACAGGTCGATAGACTCTTGTTAAGCACCGGGTTGAAATGTTATTGGGGGAGGCTGGAATTCGGATTTGAGGTTATAATCCTATCAGCCGGGATCTTATTGAATGACGGAGAAAGGAGGTTGGGATGAATGACCTACTCCTGGGCCTGATTCATATGTCCACATGTTGGTATGTGAGAGAGGGACCGGGAGAGGGATTGCTAGAGAATGTGAATGAGAGTAACCGCACAGAAACAAAATAGAGGCAGCACTATTCAGGGAACACCCCCAATTTACTAAGTGTGCTAAAATCAAATGCTGATTGGGATGCACTTGAAAAACCTAAATAATCAGAAGACAAGAACACAGAATGTTCCTTGTTGTTCCTCATACAGTGTTTAGGAAATGGGACATAAAACCTAAAATTTGAACCTCTAAAATCCCAAGTGGTATAAAATGCCAACATTAGAAATGAAGAATGAATCACTTAATGCTACAAAACTGGCAGCGAATCGGCACAGCTGACTGTTCGGCTGTTTGAGTTTCAACTGTCTCTGGACATTGAAGTTTGTCTAAGAAACATTAACCATGAAATTCTCAGCTGACCTTGAAGAAATCTGTGTGGGAGAGCTCACAGCAGGGGAGCAGCTAAGTAGATTTTTTAAAGTGTAACTTTAAAGTTTATTTTGTAAAGCTACAATAGTGAGTAGAGTGGATTCTTTTTTGATTATATGTTTAATTGAGATCTCTCTCTTGAATAAACTTAGAAAATATAAACCATAGGTAGTAACTTCACCTGGAGCAATGATTTTAGAGCAGTAAGAATGTGCTATTTTCTGGGTCTGTAGGTTGTTAAGGCGCAAAGGTAGCCTTTAGTAGAGTGATGTGCTCTTCCTGTCGGATGTGGGAGATTAGGGAGAGTTTCCATGTTACTGATGATTGTGTCTGCAGGAATTGTGTATGGCTGCAAATCCTATCAGATGGCATGGACTGGTTGAAGTGGCAGTTAGAGGCAACTTACAGGAGCTGGGGCTGTGATGGATGGCAGTTGTAGGAAGGGAGAAAAAACAGAGATAGAGTCAAGTAGATGAGTTACCTCCAGGAAAGGTAGGAGAGGGAGGCAGGTAGTACAGGAATCTCCTGTGGCAATCACCATCTCAAACAAGTATGATGCTTTGGAAAACGTAGGGGGTGATGGAATCTCCAGGGAACGTAGCACTGGTAGCCAGGTTTCCGGTACGGAGACTGGCTCTAATGTAGCAAGGAGTACATCAGCTTCCAAAAAATCGATTATGATAGGGGACTGTCTAGTCAGAGGCACAGACTGACCTTTCTGTGGCCAACAACGAAACATCAGAATGGTGTGTTGCCTCCCTGATGCCAGGATCAAGGATATCTCAGAGAGGGTGCAGAATATTCTCAACAGGGAGAGGGACTAGCAGGAGGTCGTTGTACACATTGGAACTAATGATATAGGAGGAGAAAAGGATGAGATTCTGAGGAGAGAATATTGGAAATTAGGCAGGATTTAAAAAGGAAGTCCTCGAGGGTAGTAATATCTGGATTACTCCCAGTGCCTCAAGCTAGTGAAGGTAGGAGGATACAACAGATGAATGCATTGCTCAGGAGCTGGTGCAGGGGAGAACTATTCACATTTTTGGATCTTGGGAATCTATTCTGGCGTAGTAGTGGCCTGTATAAGAAAGGGATTGCACCTAACTTGGAAGGGGACTAATACACTTGCAGGGAGGTTTGCGAGAGCTGCTCGGGAGGATTTAAACTAGTAAGGTGGGGGGAGGGGCACACAGGGAGATAGTGAGGAAAGGGACCAGTTTGAGACCGGTACAGTTGGGAAAAGGAGCGAGTCAAACAGTCAGGGCAGGCAGAAACAAAGCAGAGAACGAGGTAGGACTGATAAATTAAACTGCATTTATTTCAATTCAAGAGGCCTAACAGGTAAGGCAGATGACCTCACGGCATGGTTGAAAACATGGGACTGGATATCATAGCAATTACAGAAACATGCCTCAGGGATAGACAAGACTGGCAGCTAAATGTTATGGTATAGATGCTACAGAAAGGATAGAAAGGGGGACAAGAGAGAAGAGAGAAGGATTGGCCTATAGATACACAATAGTCAGCAGAACACTGAGAAACAAATTTGTTAGGAGATCTGAGTTATCTATAGGAATAACAGGGTGGTTATGGTAGGGGATTTTAACTTTCCAAACATAAACTGGGACTGCCACAGTGTTAAGAGCTTGGAATGAGGGGAATTTGTTAAGTGTGTACAAGAAAATTCTTCTGATTCTGTATGTGGATGTGCCTACTAGAGAAGGTGCAAAACTTGATGTACTCTTGGGAAATAAGGTTGGGCAGGTGGCTGAGATATCAGTGGGAGAGCACTTTGGGGCCAGCGACCATAATTCTGTTAATTTTAAATAATGATGGAAAAGGATAGACCAGATCTAAAAATTAAAGTTCTAAATTGGGGGAAGGCCAACTTGGACAGTATTAGGCAAGAACTTTGAAAAGTTGATTGGGAGCGGATGTTTGCAGGTAAAGGGATGACTAGAAAATGAGAAGCCTTCAAAAATGAGATAATTAGAGACAGTATATTTCTGGTAGGGTGAGGGGCAATGCTGGTAGGTGTAGGGAAAGCTGGATGCCTAGAGAAATTGAGGTTTTGGTCAAGAAAAAGAAGGAAGTATATGTCAGGTATAGAGACCAGAGATCGAGTGAAACCCTAGAAGAGTATAAAGGCAGTAGGAGTATACTTAAGAGGGAAATCAGGAGGGCAAAAAGACGCCATGAGATAGCTTTGGCAAATAGAGTTAAGGAGAATCCTTAGGGATTTTACAAATACATTAAGGACAAAAGGGTAACTAGGGAGAGAATAGGGCGCCTTAAAGATCAGCCAGGCCGCCTACGTGTGGAACCGCAGGAGATGGAGGAAGATGCTAAACGAGTATTTTATATCAGTGTTTACTGTGGAGAAGGATACGGAAGATATAGAACATGGGGAAATAAATTGCAACATCTTGAAAAATGTCCTTATTACAGAGGTGGTGGTGCCGGGAAATCATGCCTCACTAACTTGATTGAGTTTTTTGGAAAAGTAACTAAGAGGATTGATGAGGACAGAGCAAGAGACGTGATCTATATGGACTTCATTAAAGTGTTCAACAAGGTTCCTCATGGTAGACTGGTTAACAAGGTTAGATCACACAGTATAGAGGGAGAACTAGCTATATGGATATAGAACTGGCTGGAAGGTAGAAGACAGAGGGTGGCGGTGGAGGTTTGCTTTTCAGACTGGAGGTCTGTGACTGGCAGTGTGCCACAAGGATCAGTGCTGGGTCCACTGCTTTTTTGTCATTTACATAAATGATTTGGATGTGAACATAGGAGGTATGGTTAGTAAGTTTGCAGATGACACCAAATTTGGTGGTGTAGTGGACAGCCAAGAAGGTCAACCCAGAGTACAACAGGATCTTGATCGGATGGGCCAACAGGCTGAGGCAGATGGAATTTAATTTAGATGAATGTGAGGTGCTGCATTTGGGAAAGCCAAATCAGGCCAGGACTTATATACTTAATGGTAAGGTCCTGGGAAGTGTTGCTGAACAGAGACTTTGGAGTGTAGGTTCATAGTTCCTTCAAAGTAGAGTCCCAGGCAGATAGGACAGTAAAGGTGGTGTTTGGAATGCTTGTCTTTATTGGTCAGCGCACTGAGTACAGGAGTTGGGAGGTCACGTTGTGGCTGTACAGGATACTGCTTAGGCCACTTTTGGAATACTGTGTGAAATTCTGGTATATTCCTGCTATAGGAAGCATGTTGTAAAGATAGGAAGGGTCGAGAAAAGACCTACAATGATGTTGCCAGGGTTGGAGGGTTTGAGCTATAGAGGGAGGCTGAATAGGCTGGGGCTATTTTCCCTGGAGCGTTGGAGGCTGAGGAGTGACCTTATAAAGGTTTATAAAATCATGAGGGACATGGATTGGAAAGTCAAAAAACTAGAGGGCATAGGTTTAAGGTGCGAGGGGAAAGATTTAAATAGGACTGAAGGGGCAACTTTTTCACGCAGAGGGTGGTGCGTGTATGGAACGAGCTGCTAGAGGAAGTGGTGGAGACTGGTGCAATTACAACATTTAAAAGGCATCTGCATGGGTATATGAACAGGAATAGTTTAGAGGGATATGAGGCAAATGCTGGCAAATGGGACTAGATTTATCTTGGACATCTGGTCAGCATGGAATGTTGGACCGAAGAGTCTGTTTCTGCACTGTACATCTCTTTGACTCCATATGTAAAACATAGGATTGAGCTCATTAGTCATCAGTAAGGAAGATAGTAGGAAAATGCTCAAAATGTTACAATAATCAACTTAACAAGATAATCAATAAAAGTTATTCATAAAAATTAAATGCCTTTACAGGAGAGCTGGTGTACTGGATCAGGGAACTTGGAAGAGCTGAAAGCCCTTCTGGCTAATGACTTTGCTGACACTCTAAAAGTTTTCCTTCACCCATTATAATGTAGATTACTAGTGGTAGACCTCTCACCTTCTCGACTGTCTTCGTTGCAGGTCGATGGTGTCGGTACCAGTTGAGGCTTCACAAAGGAATGTTCAAGTAGCTGCTGGGGACTCCAACGTGCCTTATCCTCCAAACACACACATCTACAACAAATGTCAATATTAGAAACATCATCTGACAAAATATGCGTTGTGAACTATTCCACGACCAACAACTGCCCAGAGCTTTATTAGTTTACTCGGTTTGAAGCGATGTTTTGAACTACATTACTATCCTCAACAGAGCAATTGGGGGTTGTAGTAAGAGGAGCTTAAAGAAACAGTCAACAAATCAGTGCTTGTGTACCCATTCAGTTGTGCCATGACTGGAAGGAAAAAGTATTGCATAATGAATTCTACCCAAAGGGACTTCCAGTCACAACAAGGAGATAAGAGACACCCAACAGTAAATCAGGAGTGAAGCTCAAGGACTGGGAAACAGTCGTGGCACATCCATCCCGAGAAGTGCTCTTAAACAGGGACATCGAACCACGGTCATCTGTCTTTTCCTTTAGGAGGCCACCCAAGATACTCAAGGTTTCCAAAGAGAAAGATTGGAACTTCCTCAAGTTTCAAAGTCATGACTAAATTTCTGGTGAATCATGTCGGTAAACATACGAAGTCTTTCATATATTCACCAAACTTGTGAAACCCCATTAATAGAATTATACAGTTTGTTCATCCAAATTGAATGGATGCATCAAGAAAGCCATCTATTGTAGATACTGCAATGAGTAGCAACAATTTGTTGACATGAATTAACAGTTAAAGAAACATACATTTCCCACATTAGGTACTTGAAAAAAAAGGTGATTAAAGTTTTTTAAAGTGTTGGTTTTGTTCCTGAAGAAGATTTGTATTGAAGCATCAAAGAGATGAAGATGCAGCACCCATTTTAATATGCTAGAATTCTGATAGTTGTGTAACACAGAACAGGTCAACATCCGGATATGGATTCCCAATCAATAATCCCCCTGTACTGAGATACCATCTCAGCCATACCTCCGACTAAGCAGCAAGAAGAGGTTAAGTGTTTCCCAAAGAAAGTCAAGGAGAGAGAGAATGACTGGGTTAGCCAGCACAACACAATCTACTTTGTGAAGGGACTGGATATCTGATTTATATCTCAGCTGTTTTAGCAAACAGAGCCTTTTTTTTAAAACCATCCATAAGCCAGTTTTAAAATACCATGATCACATGAAGGTATTGGTCTGGAAAACAGGGCATTTTCATCACGTGTCCAATCAATAAACACACTGTCTGCTTAGATGAAAACTGAAAGAACTGCAGATGCTGGAAATCAGAAAC